CCCAGAAAAAAAAAGGGAGAGAGAGAAGAGAATCAAAATAAAACAACTAATTGTGGGGTCCTAATAAACCATTTCCCACAGTTACAAAATTGAAGTGCCATACCGTGAAAAATCAAATACTTATGGCCAGATGCTCATATATATATATGAACAAATTGACATAACCATAAATAAGAATCATGCTAGCACATATATGTGTGATTCATGAACTTGTTGAGTTCTTCTCCCTAAATTTGGAAGACAAATGCATTTCTTCCACTATATGAAAAAATGAGCTAAGTCGGACCTATAATCAAATGGAAAAAAGTTATCTCGAAAAACCTATAATTTTTTTGATAAGGATCTCGAAAGACCTACAATCTCTTCGAATCTTGCAAACTTGGTGAAAAATAAAACACAATAAAACAAAAGTCAATATAGACGATAAAAATTAGTTCGGATTAATGCTTAGTAATGTTTGTAAACTTACATTAGGTCCCACATTAGCTAGGAGTATTTTTAATTAAAATTTGTATGTTAAGAGGAAAATATAAACGACATTCTAACATTAGAATCTAAATTATTTGAATATTGGCATAAAACAAGTTCAAATGGAGCGAAGTAGATAGAAGGGATTCATAGAGCCGACCCCTGCCAGCTTGGAATTGAGGTATAGTTGTTTATAAAGAAAAAAGGAAACCATCAAAGAAATTGTGAAAACAAACCAATCAAGGGCACTAACAGAAATTTTTCCAAAATAAGAAATCAAGGGCACTAACAGAAATCTAACATTCATAGCAAAAAGAGGGTTCCCAAAAACCATATGTACATATAAAACCTATAAATTGCACCACACATATACACCACTTGCTTGATTAAGCAACCTGAGTTCTCAATGAATCAAGCATTACTTGATATATAACCGTGAGAAAAAGAAAGTCAACAACTTGAATTTTCTCAGACGAATCAAGTATTACCTGACATAAACTTGATAAGTAGACAGAAATAAAGAATGACGTAGAACCCTACTCATCAAGATAACCAGGATATCACAAAGATTGCACCCTCAAATAGAACAACTAGTAAAGGCCTCTCTGCAACCCTTGAACTGCACGAACCAATTAATGAGTAACCTCAAATCCACCAGAACACAGCAATGGAATTGAAGAACTGGCTATTGTCATCAAATTTTAAAAACTGATAATAGGAAGCTGGATGACAATGGTGAAGGTGATTAAGCAAATGTCATAAGTAAGTTACCTTGAAGGCTTTCACGGAAAAAGCGCTAAAAAGTCAGCATGAGGAGGTTAGTGCAACAATTGAATTAACTGGGTTTTATTTACTCCTGACAGATGAATGAGGAATTGATCTCTAAGAAGACAGTCAAGACAGTGACAGATATCCTGATTCTGCAAGTGGTTGGTGCAGACTTCCTTGCAGCCAAATGAACCAACAGTGATATCAAGATACAAGATCAATCTGATCAAAAGAGAACATAACTATCTCACATCTCAAGTAATTACCCAGCAACTTTAAGAACAAATTTGGAAGAAAATACTCACAATTTCAGTTACACAGGATAACATTTGTGGTAAGATGAAAACCAACATATTTAAACTGACCTTCATCCCAGGATTATCTTTCAGTATGACAACAGATAAAGAGCATGATCATAACGAAATACATTTGCATTACATGAAGGGATTCATTACAAAAACTCAGCAGGAACTGTAATTAACTTTCTCCAACATTTTATCGCCGAAAAGCATTGCCTTCTGACGCTTCTGCTCTCTGCGAATAATGTGTTCGGCGACGAACACTTTCTTCAATTGTGGAGCTTCCTCCCTTCCCAGCACCATAAACACTTCTTTGAGCAGCGTCCAGAAAATTCTTACCACCAGACAAGCCAACATGAACAGCTTCCTTAGCGTCCTTTTCCTCTGCCTTCTTAATTCTTTTCCATCTTTGCTCCTCATGCACCTCAGCATCTCTCTGCATCTCCTGTAGACGGGCAGCTCTCTCTTCTTCAGAAAGCCTAACAGGCCTACGAGAGTTATGACGTGATTCATGCCTTGGTGCAAAATCAGACCTTGTCTGCCTCTCGTACTTCTCAGCTTCAAGATTACCATGCCTACTCTTAGTTTTTTCTCTGCCAATATCATCGTCTCCTTCAGGAACTCGTAACAGAGACGATTTCCGCTCATTAAACTTCTTCTCCTGGTGAGAGACTTTCTTTCTCCTGGAATCGTCTTCGCTCGAGTCTTCATCTAGATCAGAGGTTTGTCTAGGTGAAGGATTCCTTAAATGCTTTGACTTTGAGTGGTGATGCTTTGATTTCTTGTCTCGATGCTTATGTCTGCGTTCATCCTTCTCTTTCCCGTCATGCATCTTATCCTTATTCTTCATCGTTTCAACAGATTTTCGAATCATGGCCATCTGGACAGGGTTGTTCTTCACACGTGCTAGCGCTTCTTGCTCTCGCTGACGAATCATAAGCAAGGGATCTGAATGGAGTTTCCTCCAAGCATCATTGGAAGATTGTGGCTTATCCTCAAATAGAGCTCCTGGCGCAGATGGCACAGATGCTTGCGGCTTCGCAGAAGAACTGGAAGCAGCAGTTGTTCCAGGATCGGTCGGCTTGGCCAAAGATTCAAATCCACTAGAACTTCCCTTGCCAACAGCTAACCCAGAATCATAGAGAAATTCCAGCCTCTCTTGCCTGGGAACCAAGCCAGCTTGTTCCTGAAGTTGGCGAAACTCACTGCGCTCACGCTCCTCCAGGATCTGCTTGCGGAGCTCCTCCAACTTCTTCTGTTCGGCCTCATGCTTCTGCTCTGCTTTCCATACATTTTCAATGTTCCGAAGACTCCCCGTGTGCCATCCCTTCTTATTCAAGAACTTCAAAGCCATTGAGTCTTACAAAATTTTTAACGCTTAGACTGTTAAGACAGATAATTCCTCTCTTGCTTACCTCTAATACCTACATATCACAGGAACCAAATAGGATAAATCAGAATGCGTTTAAGTACAGTTTTTGTTATTTGGTTGAACATAAAGCTCAAAACAAACATCTTATGTCTATCTCTATCTCAAGAATGTTATCATACAAAAAATTCAGCTACCAAGTTCTTCATCCAAAAAAAAAAAAAAACAGCTACCAAGTTGTCTAGCATCAGCTCAAGGGGCCGTGTGGATAGACTAATTTGGATTTACAGGATATTTAAAATTAATTGATTTCAAATTCTTACTTGTTAGTTGTAGTATATCAGAAATCGTAAATTGTTAACTTAAATAATTAGAGAGGATTCGGCAAATACTTAGATCTATGCCTTTCGCTAAAAGTGCTGAAACACACAACCTAACTGAAGAAATTCCATCTTTTACGGCCGCTAATTTTTCTTTTTCTATAGAAAAAGATATGCAGAGAATTTACAAGTAATACTTCAAGGGCAGATTATTACCCACCAGACCCTTGAAGCAATTACAACATCGGAAGCAAATAAAAAACAAAATTAACTTGAAAAAATAAAAAAGAAATCGGGTTGAGGATTTCTATATGCAGTAAGAGTAAACAAAAAGAAAGAGTAGAACGAATTAATACCTGATATGTTTTACCAATTACAGGAACAACTTTAATTAGGGTTCTCCGGATAGTAGATAGAGACAGAAAGAGAGAGGTGGGAAAGAGAGAGGTGGGAAAGAGAGAGTAAAAGAAAGGAGACTTACAGCTTGATTCGGCGGAGAAGGAGATCGCCGTAGCTCGCCGACGGGAAATTGGCAGCCCCGTAATATAGTGGTTCGAACTGGTCCGGAAAAATGTGATCGCAATTGGCAGCCAAGAGACTGTTTTAGTCAATTCTCTAATGCATATTATCTAACCGCCTACACAAATCCTAATCCTGGATAAACCGGAACCTAACTTCTACAAATTACAGTTTGACCCCAAAATCAAATATAAAGACCCCTGTTCGGTTCTTTTTTTTTCACCCTCCAAAAAAAGATGTATTTGAAGTATACATGTTAATCGGGCTTGGCCAGCCCAATGACAGTCCGGTTCAGCCCGGGTCAGCCCATCATGCCAGGGGTGGGACGGGCTGGGAAGGTTAGGGGAGGGGGGAAAGCCGGACGGAAACGAACATATTTTGGTAACCGGTGCCCCGGAACCCGGTTAGTCCTGTTATCCATTATCGGGTTTTTACCGGGCTACAACCTGTATCAGCCTGGTTACCGTTGGAAAAAAATTTTAAAAAAACATTTGTTGATCGTTGTCAATGGTCAAATCCAAAAATGACCGTTGCCAACGGTCAAATTCAAAAATATCCATTGGGCAACAACCATTTTTTATAAAAATGGTTATTTCGGCTTACCCCCTTAAGAAAATAGCCTCACTCTAACAATTGATAAATTACAATTTTAACCTTTTAAAAATTATAAATAGCCCCCTTTCTTCTTTATTTTTCTCACAATTTGCTCTCTTACTACTCTAATTCTCTCTCAATTCTCTCTTGATAATATTGCTTATTGCTCTTAAATTCTCAATTATGTTATAAAATAAAGACTATAAAGTAAAGACAAGTATAGAGAGAAACTGATATATTATTCGAATTCAAACTAATGTACATAATGAACTGAAATCCCTTCTATTTATAGAAGAAATGAAGCTGTTGTGTAAGCTGTTGTGTAAGCTGCTACTACAAGCTGTT